ACGGCAGGTTAAAGCTCTATCGTGCAAACAAGAAGCCGTATGGGAACGTGATCCAGGAACGCCGCCGTCTCTCATAGCTGATTAAAATTGGACTGAGGCAACGTGAAAAACTGTTCTGAGGTCAGACGAACTGAAATGTGAAATTCTATTTGGAAATCATGGATGCTACGGCCTCTGGGCTAAAGAGCAGAGGGAACATCTGGCTTGTTATCAGCACTCAGTTCAGAAACCTGCATCTCTGATGGTATTACATATGCTTCCATCCAGACGACAACTTTTCCAGGGAAGGCCTTCCTTTTCCCGCAGCATAGCTCCTTGGATAGAGTCCAAGTGCTGAAGTGGCAGCCTGCAGTCCGGACCTTTCACCAACTGAAAATCGCTTCTCGCCCGATGCACATGCCGTCCATCTGAGGATTAGTGATTCATTTTAAAGACCTTCTCGAGCCAAACCTCTCAGACTGTGATCAGTCAGCATACCTGTTAAGCCACTGACCTGCAACAGACGTCTTTCCCAGGATTTCCAAGCTGGTCTGTGTGCACTGAGAAAGGAACTGAGGAAACTTACCTGCTTGTCCACCGCTCCACCCGTCCCTCCGAGGATGTCGGGATAGTCTAACCACACCTCTGCTCTGGCTCCGACTAACTCTTCTCTCCTTTGTTGACAAAACAGCCGCCTGAATCACCGTCCTGTGATTCATCAGCCTCAGGTCCTGCTGCCCTTTAAATCTTGTGTAAATACACTTGTTAAACAGCTGTCGGTCGCTGGGTTGTGAATGCAGAGTCCAGAACTTCGGAGTCTCCTTTGACTTCTGACAGCTGGTCTCCTGAGTTCCCAGATGTTTATGGATGCACGGCCCGTCCCAGGATCCTGAGATGGACTACTGTCATCAAATTCAAAATGAGCATTTATTCTTCTTAAAATTAGATATTTTGTCAATTCTATTGTGAACATAATCTGATATTACGAAAATCCATGTATTCTGTTTTATTTGACATTTTTTGGAGGTGGAGTTGTTGATGAAGGACCATGCTGCTCCTCCTGGTTTTCATTACATCTGCACGTTGTGTTTCCGTCTCCTATACCATGAGCTTCTTCCTTCCAGCAGAGAATTATTAAAGCCTTTATTAAAGTGCAGCACCACTTTAATAAAGTTCCTGATCCATGACCGGCGTTTGAAATGAAGCACTGAGAGCTTATTTGGTCTCTTTCCTGCATATCAAGTAATGAAAAAGCCTTTAACTCAAAACATTAGTTTAATGTTTAGTTTGAACTTGAAAATGGAAATGCATAATCTAATGAAAAACCAGTTCTCTGAAAAAAGACCAGCTTCATTGTGAATTGACTTTTACTGCTGCTTATTTGTGGAAATGCTCCATTTCTCAGATAACTCAGATAACTCATTTTTTTTACTCCACTGACTGTTTTTTTTCTCTTAGATTTGTTTTTCACAGTGTAAACGATCCACATTTCTTTATTTTTTACACGTCTTTTTCAGCACCATCTTTCTTCATTTTAATAAAGCTGACATTTGTTTCCTTTAAAGCAGGGGTAGGGGCCATTTCATTTTTTACAAAGTTCGGGCCATACCATTATGAACACATACTCAGGTATGCAAAAGTCTGTAAGTACCGTGTTACTAAGCCTCAGGAGGTTTCATGGCTATTAATGCACTCACCACAAAACTTGCACACGTAATATTCTCTGTGTCCGTCTGTGGTCGTGTGAAAGCTGCTTGTTAAGGAAGAGCGTTAACGTTGAGCTCTCAGCTCATCATGTTTAGCATGTTTCAAACTGTAATGGCACCAGCGCCGCGCCACAAACTGGGCACAGCGGCTTGCCTTTCACTTAAACAAAGAAAAAAATCAGGTGTCCATTTTTCCTGGAACACACAGCATTCTGCATCCACCTTCATTTTCATGACAGCTGCCAGGATTCATCCTTTGTTGTCAATCACGTAATGAC